ATCCCCGCGGCCTGATCGTTCGACGGGACTTCGACGTTCGAGAATGATGGCACGATAGTTTCCCATTCGCTGAGTATTTCTTGTTAGGGTTAAGTAGCTATCGAAGATCTGCGAGATACGATCTTCGGGATAAAAAAAGTAATTGGCAAGCAAAAAAAAATTCTATAAACCAGTAAAACATTTTAATATATTACGTATTAGACTGATAATCGATTCCTAATAAATACGCAAATTATTAAGATCTATAGAAATTAACGCCCAAATGTGTCAATTCACTTGATATATAAAAAAAATTTTGAAAGAAATCAACATTCTCGCTTCCCAACTCGTATAATTTAGGCAATCATACATATTGATCGCCATAGTCCTGAATAATTTATTCGCGTATCCAAGGATCGAAACAAAGCGGTATACTATTCGCGCGGAGGCCGCTTTAGTCGAAGTGGAATTTACGGAATGACGCCCTAGACGCGCTTATGTGCCTTGTGAGGTGCATTCGCCTAGGACCGGCAGAGCCCGAGGGAAGGACTTCTTCGAGCGGAGAAATCCTAAGGAGCTGAAGCGCACCAGCCGACGAAGAAACGCGGGGGAACGAAACAACCCGAGACCCTGCGGGCATTCCCTGGCATAGAGCCCCATCCGATCCCCCCCCCTCCCGCGCTCTCCTCGTATGTCGTATCAAAGACGACTCGAGGGGAAGGAATGAGAGGAAGATCGCCGATCGTTGCCCGTATGCCTCGAACGACCGTTTAAACTCCATTACGCCCGTCCGTGATTCTCGCGCGATCACGGGGTACGCTCCTCACCGTCGAAGGCACCTACATGAACTGGAAAAGGGTTCGGACCGATTACTCAACGTGACACGTCGGTCCTGGAGCTACGAGGGAGGAAGAGGCCGCCTTCAACGTCGAGGAACTGACGCCTGTCGAGCCTGCGAGACGCGGGTGCGCGATTGACGCGATCGTACGCATCGCACGTCCTGCTTGAACGAATGCTCGAACGAACCTTTGTGCGCAATATATTCAGAGTTCTCAACAAAATTCACTACTCACATTTTAGATACATTTCAGAACTGCAATAATAAGCAGTCACACTTGATATATTGTAAATCGGAGATTATTGCCGTCAAAAAGCGTAACTATATTTTTTTATATCATTTTGTTATATTTTTCACAAGTATAAAAAATCACGTGATGTATTAATAAAAATTCCGAACAGCCCCGAAGCCTTCAAAAATTAATTCGACCGATAAATCACGCTCCTTCTGCTCCGCGATACTTTATGAAGACACTTTATTATTATATATCGCAGTAATACCGGCTCTCTCCTTAAAAGTGCGCACAGCGGTTTGTCTAAAAAAATGGAGTATTCACCGCATGGTTTTCTTCGGAACTCGCAAAAGTTTATAAAACAACGATCGCTCTTTGCCTCGCTATAGACCGCACGCGATACAAGCCGCGTTTTCCACAAGCGCGAAAAAACGCATGACACATTAATAAAAATTCCAAACAGAGCTCGGAGGCCTTCAAAAATTAATTCAACAGATAAATCACGCCTCCTACCTCGCGATACTTTATGAAGACATTCAGGTGGGCACACAAGATGCGAAGCGCACGAAGTGGTTGAAGTTAATGGGCTACCCCGTATACGTATCAGTGGCTAGCCTTCGTACACGTTCGCCTTGAATCCCGGCGAGTCGCAAAAGTATTCTGCATTTGGAAGCGTCGCGGCGGCGGGCTGCAACGCGCCGTTGCAGTCGCGATTCATTCCGAGGTTAACAAGGTTGCGGAAGAAGCGGCGCAGGAGCGAGAAGGGACTCGACTCGAGAGATTTTAGTCTTCCGCTTCTACGCAATCAGCCGAACCGTTCCGTCTCTGTCGGCTTAGCGGCCAACTACCCTAGGCGCATCTTCCTCTTGATGCATCGGACGCGTCGCGTGTGCACCCGTGCGGCTCGGCAACCCTCTCGCGACTCGCGCACACCCGCACATACGTTACACACGTTAAGACGCGTGCTTGCGGGAAAAAAGAAGCACCTGGAGCATGTGAGATCGTCGCGAGGGGATTAAGAGCTTATCAGATTGGTGCAGATTACCTTAATTTTTCAAGCAGCGCTCGAGCGATACCCTGGATATCCCGGCCACGATCTCGCAACGAAGACATGAAAAAGTTTGCCGGCGCACAACTCACTAATGCGATAAAATACTAACGCAATGACTTTTTAGCTGAGCCGTCAGCACGATTCTTTGCGGAAACTCACGGCAGCAACACGAGAGTCGACACTGTACTTGTTAATTTTTAGTGTCATTATAACGTTAAGGAAATCAAATTTAAAAAAATTTTTTTTTTTAATTAGTCATTATTTGTAAAGAGTCGCTTGCTCCAATAAAGTCATATTTTGTCAAACATAGAAAACGTCATTATTAGATAATGGTACAATTTTTAAATATCGCGACATTTGATGTAAATGAATACGTATTCTCAGTGTATTTTCAAAATGGAGTTTTAAAAGGTTAAATCTTTTCCTTGTCTGATTATATATTTACAGATTTGCTCTACTCACATAGACTTCTTTTTAAAGCGATCGAGCTACCAAACTGTGAAACAACAGAATTGTATTCCTATATAGAGCTGCCAATCTTAATTCCATTAACGCACGCGAGCTTGATTAAAAGTAACGAAACTTTTAGGACATCAATTATCAATCTAGCTCTGCCACTCCAATTATGTCAGCATAATATTAAAATATCTTGTAAAAAGATTTCAGAAATAAAGCAAAAATAAATTGACATCTCCATAATGTTTCATAAAAATAAAAAATAATCAAAACGTGTCGACGAATTATTGTAATAATGTAAAATATTTTTAATCATTATTATTTATTAAAACTTTTATTATATAGCACTGTTTAATGTTAAGACTTTTTTTCATTCGCTAAGCTAACACATGTGATTGAATGTTTTTCCAAACGAAAACAAAGTTGTATCTAATTAAATCGCACTTAGAATGTTTCTAAATGATATTGCCAAGATAAATTGTGTCTAAGTGGTTCGTCAATAGTGTAAACGCATGTACTTAAGTAAATAGGAGTTTTCACTGAATTAAAGTATCTTCAAATAATCGTGGTGTAATCACAATGCGTCTAGAAAAACTAAATTGGCGTGAGACAGAAGGCACAAAGAAGAAGCATTATACACATTCGTTGATGGCGGGAAAAATAGCTCGATAGACATGTTCCAGAACAAACAAACACGCGACCGTACATCTTATTCCGGTCATCATTGTTAATATATAACCGTATCTCTTCTGACAAATCACAAATGATCGTTTGCGGGCTACTGGTTTCCACCTAATTCGCCGCGTATGCATAGAAAACAACATTTTGTGGCGACCCGTGCACCTGCAATTTCGCCGGTCATCAGTCGCAACATTATGAATCTAACGACGATCTTTTGTGTAATGTGCATCTATTATTGCGCCTTAAAAACAGCTCCGCAGTATTAAGTATTACTTCCTTTTGCGATAAGCAAATGTTTTTTAATCATAATCTCACTTTTATTTTTATTTAAAAATATGAATCTAGAAGAATAATTAGAACAATTTCAAGAGAAAAATCATTTAAATATTGTTATGCTTATTAAAATATATTAATAAAGTCTTCTGAGTTGATATAAACTTATATGCAATATACATTTAAGTTTGACATACATTTCTCAAACAAGAAAAAAATTAGAATTAAAATTTTATTAATTAAAAAAAATTTCTTTTATTTACGGAAAAGCAAATAAAAACAAAACACCACAAAAATCAGCATTAGTATTGAACTATTTTCCAAAAAATATATAACTATAACAGATCAAATAAACTGTCAAATAAATTAAGAAAAAATGTTGCAAGAGATTCGCAAAATAGAAAAATATACTATTTTTCAAATAATTTAACAAAAATCTGTTGTAATAGATCAAATATAATCGGTAAATAATCAGTAAATGTGAATCCAAACGTGCGCGTAAAGCGCATTCATTACTCGCGAGATGATACCTAGCTGAATGAACTAAAGTGTGTCTGTGAATCAGTTGTCGACGTTAATTTTATGAGCGAAGGTACAATTTTACGTGCTAGCACTCAACTTCATCCCCATTAGCACGAGCTTCAGACGCGTGAATTATACATGCGTCTCGAACTGCGATACTTTAGAGCCTTTCAAAGTTAATCCTATAGTCCGCTTTCCATGTCGTTTAGTTTCTTAAGTATATAAAGAATGCTCATCGATTAAATGCTCGTAGAAACATTGATTTTGCAATGTGGTCCAACATTGCAAAATCAATTTTAAATTTTTCATAAAACATTTTTACACAATTTTATACTTTACGTTAAAATCGCACTAAAATCATTCCATTTTCGTCACAATGATTTATATTAATTATGATATATGCTCTGATATGGTGTGAACGTTTATGTTTATATTTAAATATTATCTATCTTTTAATTAGATTACGGTCTTGCGTTTATTTCTTTATTTAGCTAATAGCTATCGTCTACTATGCTTAATTGTGTTAGAATGAATATGCAATATCATCACACCTTATTCAATTTTACTTAATGAAATTTCTATTTCTGTTACGAGCAAAACCCGCCGCTAAAACGTGTGATTTTTAACAACGCAATTCTTTCAAATCTTTTAACTTTGACATTTTACATTTATAAGACAGATAATTCTTTCCAACATTTTTCTTTGCTGCAGCTTGATAATTGAAGTTATAATCCAATATTTCTTCAAATGCATTTTTAGTCCTGAATACAAGACTAGATTACACTATTTTCGCTATAACGCTGAAAAACGAGAACGACCGATATCTCGTTCCGCACCTCAGAGATAAAAAAACCAAATGTTCTAAATCCGTAGAAAACACGAGTGGCTTCCTTCCGTTTTCGAGTAGCGGAATGACACCGGTCGTTCTCGTTCCGACTATCGTATCGATTTAACGGACTCGCACCGACCTCTTTCCGTTTCGACGCCGCCTCTTCGTAGCGTAGACGGTCCCCAGCTGGCTCATGGCGACGGGATTGTTGGGACCCGACGCCGACGTCGGAGTCGGTACCGGCGCCGAAGTGGGCGTCATCGCGGGATCAACGACGTGGGGCTGAGGGTGAGTGGCGGTCAGGGTGAGCTGTGATCCCGGGGGATAGCATGCCGCCGTCACGTAATCCGTCGGCGCGAGGGACGCGGTCGGCGGTCCACAGATCCCGGCGATCCCTGATGCACCACCGCCCCCGCCGCCACCACCGCCGCCGCCGCCGCCGCCACTGCCGCTGCCACCAACACCGCCACCGACACCGACGACACCACCCCCGACCACCCCCAGCCCCGCCGAGGCGGCTCTGTCCAGCGCGTACACCGTGCAGACCGTGACGCCCCTTGCCTCTAGCGACGACGCTACGTCATCCTCTGTCACCGTCGGTGCCACTACCACCAGCTGCTGGCGTCGGGGCACTTGCTCCTGATGACCGTATCACCGTACGCACGCGGCCGATTACGACGCGGCAGCTGCGACAGCTGTTGTCGCTCTGCAAATTCGCCCCACCGAGCGGCGACGAATGACCGCCGGACAGTGTTCTCTGAGAACGCGGGTGCTGTTTTTCGCAATCGGATCTTACGTTAACATTCGGCGATTGATATCTGATGGTACCGATAATAATGAGTAACAAGCAGTGGCCGGAGCAATTATTCAACAGACTTGTTTCAGAGTCTCTACATCTCACAAAATCTAGCGCCCAGTGTCAACAGATTCGTCCATCGATTCGACCGTAGACTTTTTGACGTCGTTTTCGACATCGATGCAAAATTCGTGATACATTGTATATCGAATAAAATCATCCTTCCACATTTTTATAAACACAGAACAAGAGTTTCACTGTCGTTAGTCATTCACTTTGAATCGGAGCTCAGCTTGAAATCGTAATTAACGATGTCACTACGACACACAATGAAGAACGTCAGTAACGTTCAAAAATCAGTAACAATCACACGGTCCCAGGGCACTTAAGCAATGATGCATCGCCGTCGCTTTCAGCCCGGGATGGAAACGAGTGACTCGTTCCATCCTCGGCTTCGATATTCCGAACGGTTTGCGCGTTATCTTATTCCTCACTGCAGATCCATATAAACTTCACTCTCACTGCTCTGACAAGCACCAGCACCACCCCTCTCGACGCCCAGTACCACTCGATATTATTGTCATCCGGTTGTGTGACAATCACGTAACGCGGTATTCCAGTATATCTGCCGCGGTATCCAGGATACCTGAGACATCCAACGCCGAGGCCACGACGAAAACCGAGAGCTCGGTCGACCGGTATGAGACGCTTATCACCAAGAAACCTTCCGATTCGGTCGCGTCACGTGTGCGCGCAAACTGACTCGCGCGTCCCTCTCTCACGCTCCCTCCCTTCTCGCGCGTTGTCAGTCCCTCCCTTCCTGTTTATCGTAGATGGGAGAAAGAAAGACTCTTACCCCTACCCGGGTGACACTCTTCCTTCACCCTCACGGTCCGTCGGAGCGAATCGGACTGACGCGAAACTCGCTCAATCGCGAACTGTCGAAGATCCAACGATCTAGGATCTATCCGTGCTACGCTGGCGAACTCGAATCTAGCAGCGAACGCGAAAACTAGTGGGCGGGTTGGCAGAATTCTCGTGCAGGCAGGCTCGCGGTAGCGAAGCGAGCGCGGACGATGCGGTGCTCGCCTTGTAGAAGCGTGTCGTGTACTGGCGAGCCTGCCGGGCGTAGCATAAGTCAGGAGAGCGTGGCATAGATCGGAGAGTGGAGGCGCAGGCCGGTGGTGGTGGGCCCAGCAAAGGAGTAACCTCCGTAGGTCGACCGGGAGACCGGCCGTCGGCTTCTACCCACCGTGACGCAGGTTCACCTCTCTGACTCCCACCCGCAACACTCGCCACGCCTTCGAGTAAGCTAAAGGGACCAATCGCGGCACCAGCATGGCGCTACCGACCTGGCATCGCGGAACCACCGGACGAACGATATCATCGCGCGCGCCTCGGGATTCCACCTACTCCCGGGTCTGCTCTTCCTATTTCCTCCACGTCCGCATCCTCTCCTCCTTGCCCAGTTCGCGAAACTGCACCTAGCGCCTATCTGCTCTCGCCGAGACGCACGCCGATGGAAACGCGCAAACCATTCACTAATTCGACCAAGTCCGGAGAAATATTTTTCCAGAGGTTGGTAATAACGATACATTATTTCAACGGAGATATTTGATAAGTGAAGCAGTTCAGATGTTTTCAAGTGGAGAAAGATACGATAAATTCTCAAAAATATAAATCAATATACGATTTCCAATGTCCTGTATTATATTAGCGTAAGATATAAATAAACTAATTCCTTATATCTTGAACCAAAAAATTTCCAACATTAATTTATACTGAAATTTATAACCACTTAGAATAGAAGAAGTTGAACGTCGATTGCGACTTTAACAACTTATTGATATATTAATTAAAATCAGTATTATAACGCGTGCATTATATGTAACTAAAAGCACAGATATAAACATTCTATAATATTATTATCATTATTATTAATTTCTTCTTGTCTCATATAATTTGCAAGTAATTTAGAAAAAAATAAATTCAAAACCTAGATTCTAATTTTAACCGTCATCCATATTCCGGAATTGACTCACGCATCAAGTCAAGCACATATATTTTACTCGTTTCATTCGTTCTATAAAGCTCTTTACAATTGTATCTGTAGGCACAATAATAGTCGCAACATGACACGAGCACGAATCGATCGCACGCGTTTTGTAATCCAATTGCAGGTCACAAAATACATAAATTACCGGCCGCACGATAAGCCCGACCGGAACAATAATGTTCCGCGATCGCTACCGATTCCCATGCCACGATCCATTCGCTCCATCCTGACGGGTGACGCGTATACACATGCTCGTCCGGCGTCACGTACCCTCTTATCTGAAGAGCCCGGCTCTTCGTGAGTGTTATCTGATCGCGAGACATAAGCGATATCACTGTAGCTAGAAACGACAGCAGTAACAACGACTATCGATATCGATAATATAGTAACATTACGATCCAAGGAAGATCAACGATTTCTCGCGGAAGCCGCAAAGGCTTTCTCTCATGCACTTCGGTATACATTGTAAACTGATATCAAAACGAATATATGCCGAAAGCGAGTTTGCCAGTGATTGAAATGCTTGAGCGACACGCAACACATTACGATATTCTACGTTATCGATGACGATATATCGCGAATATAGATAGTTTCTGAATATTACAGTCACGGTGTTGTAAAGTTTTATTTTTCAAAAGTTTCGCCGAAAGATATCGAAAAGAAATATTGGCAAATCCCTAAACAAAGATCAATTTATTATTATAAGAAATAATGAAGAACATAGCGTGGTCGTATTTCAAAAAAGGAACGATTTTATTGCTCTCTTTGTAATTTTATTCGCATCGTTATTCAATCGGCGGATACTTTGTCAAACTACAATATCCAATCTTGTATTAAACAGTTAAAAATCTTTGTATATTAATAATTGTTTAATTCTCATTTCGTATCAGCATCAGAGAATAGCACGCAACGAGAATGTCCGTCATATTCCCAGTCTGCGTTCTCGATCCTATTACCGAAAGAATGAATACTCCGCCCTCGCTTTTAATAACGTATTACACACCTTTTGACGAAAAAATCTTATTCGCGTTAAGAACTCATTTCACGCATACGGCACCAGAACGCTATGCGGATGCTACCGCGTGTCGCTGGGACCTCAATACACGCAAGACTCGCGTTCGCGCCGGCTCTGTTCCCTATACAGCTGACTCGTCCGTACCTCCTCCTTTGCCCTTCCTCTGCGTACGTCTCGTCATGTCCTGTCTGAGTCTTTCCTCCCGTCTGAGTCACGCAAATTTGGGCACGTAGAGCTTGTTTACTGCCTCACCGGAATCGAGATCTGAAAACTTTTACTTTCATCTCCAGACACACGTGTGCACGTCCCTTAATTGCAAAACTTAACGCCGCGTAACCGATGCGCTACTTTTTAATGCAGATACGTATAGAAACTTCATATAATACACGCAATGCAATTTAAAAAATTTTACGAATAAAAAAACCGCAGTAGGAGGCGTGATTAAATATTTTATAGAATATTTCTATTATGCGGAATATTTGCTTGTTTGTATTAATATACATTAATATACATTTAAAAATATTAATATAAAATTTAGCCGCGCAAAAAATTTTGCATTTTGTTGAAAGATAACATAAGGAATCTTTCAGTTTTTCTTCACCGCGTAACCCATAGAAAATAACCCCTTTGACTGAACACACAATACAACTATTGTCTTCTTAATTGCAGACTTCGTAAAGAAACATCCTACTTTTATAATGCACTTATTAATTACCTATTCGTCACCAACACGTACATGAATTAGAAACTTTAATAGATTTATTTTTGATTGTAAAAATGACATTATTACGTACAATTAACATTCGATTGCATAATAATAATTTAGTTTATAAATATGTTAAAATGTCATGTTATATTAATAACGTCAAATAATTTTAGCAAAGTATATAAAAACCTTCGCGTTACTATTTCATTAAGTATCAGTATAATAAAAAAATATATATTTTTTAAATAATTTTTTTGCACAATAAGCAATTGCAAGTTTGAAAAGAAAATATTCACGCATCATGCATAAACGTGTCACTTCATCATACTAGTAATAGAAAGATGTCTTTCGTATTTGCTTTATGTGACGGAAAAGTGACATCAGTGAAACTTCAAAGCCTTGTGTGCCTTGGAAAGCAGATAAAAGATTGCAGAGATTTTTCCAACAAGGTTTTAAACACAAGAAAAGGATAGCGTGGGAAATTAAATGTATGTAATACTGTCATTGTTTCTTTTATTCATTATTAAAGATGATTCTGATATAATGGATATGTTCGCAATAGAAAATGTCCGCTTGAAATGCATATTAACCCGTTATTACTATTTAAAAATTGTTAGTACACACGAAATAATAAAGAATTAATTTAAAAATTTTATGTAATATTAGAAATTATTTTTTTACCAAAACATTGATAACATTTTATAAACTGACAAAATTTTATGTTAGAAATTTAATCAATTCTAGTTTTATAACAGAATCAAAATATTATAGCTTATCAAGTCACATTATTAAAACGCAAAAA